CACTTAGGACCATTTTTCAACCGTAGTTTTTAGCCCTTCTGCTCTCATATGAAAGCTCAAAGACCCAGGGAGTTGATCCTGGCAACAATTTACACAATCTCACCATTTTGGGGGCCAAATAATCTCCTTTTTCAAAAGATACTGTGGGTGGGGGCACTTTTAATGCTGATGAGCTGGCCAAAAATTCTCACTTGAATTAGTGGTCTGCATCCTGCAATACCCATCAGTCGACACCGCACAAGTGTGAACTGTGAAGTGTATGGCATACGACATGTTACTCTTTTTGTTAGGCATGTTAGGTCCCAAGTTCTATTTGCCAACATCTTCTAAAAAAGGTTACTGGCTCAAGTCACTGGAAATAGTTCTCAACTTGTTTTGCCGCACAGCAGAACTGAAGCACATAGGAATTCCTTTGTACCCTGAACTTAAGTTGTAGAGATAGGAACAGACTTCCTGATACAATAGTCTCAACATTGTCAATCAGCTCTTTTGGGGATCAGGTTCTTGAGTTTATCAGATCCAGGGATAGGAACTTAAATTAATGTTGCGTCTCTCCATTTTCTCCCGTGGCCATACATGGATTCAGTGAGTCTGTAGAAGAATGTGTGTATGATGTTACTCTTGAAATTGGACTTGTTTGAAGTTGTCAACTTGGGTCATATAAATTATAAATATAAGTTTGTCAATAAATCACGTTATACTTAATTTAGGTGTTTTGAAAGTAAACATACATGTTTTTATTCAGTTTTCCTGTAATAAAGTTAGCGAGTATAATGCTTCGGCTCCATACTGGTATGACTGTGCAAACACCTTTGGAGGGTTATGAATGCGCATGTATAGTGTTGGCAGAAGGCAGCAATTTAGTCAAGAGGGTTTGCACGGTTTATAGCTTGGGCCCTGATATCCAGGGTCAATAGGCTGGATTTGAAAGTGTCAACCGTACAAGCTTCCCAAATGAAATGAAGGAGTTGGTTCCATTCAAGGACTGAACGTGTAATATGTATTTGTAGCAGTCCTTTTTGGTGTGAAGAGGAAAGAATGTGGAGTTTGGTATGCAGCCTCTAGTTCACCTGCTGGATGTTTTGGGAAGTCTGTCATCTTTGAAAGCTACTAGACCGTTTAAACTTTTGTAGAAGAAAATTGCAAAGTCTTTTCCATCAAATAATTTTACACTTGAAGTATTAACTTGATTAACCCTAAGCTTCCCTAACCACACAGAATTGAACACCAGTAAAGTGTGTGAATTTTTGGCACTGGGTACTGTACCCCTAAACTGCTTGTGCTTTAACATGGGTTCAGGCATACCCAAAATAAACAGAGTCCAACAGTTTGTGTGCACAGTTTACCATATGGTGTTGGAATTTGTGCGAATGGGTAGGGTTCCTAGTAAATCACTCTGGGGAGTTAGGGTTAAACTAAAAGCAATGACTGCAGAATATAGGCCTATGACAGAAGCAAGCAGGTTAACACTCTTAAAGCAGAATCAAAGGGTTTACAAAGTGACCTAATTTTGTGCTTCAGTGGATGCTTTTCTGCACCGTGAATATCTTGCATTTTGAAGTAGGCCGTGGCGTAGTTTGCTTTATTGATACTTTGGAATGAGTCGGCAGTTTTTCCTCTCCCTCAGTACCAAACTGCTCAGTCACTGTAGTTGGAAGGTCAGTGAATGAAGTCCCAGGGCATCCAGTTGGAACCTATTGTCGTGTAACCTTTGTTTGGTTAACGTTTGCATTTGAATGGAGCGGATGATGTAGACGGTCTTTGGGAATTCTTAAGGCCTACATGTATTTACTTTTTGTGGCACGGGCCCACGGGCTGCAAAGGTCAAGTCAGTCTAGTTACATTCTGCATAAATGATTACTTATTCCCATAATCACATCTTTTCCCCATAACCTTTGAATAGCAATATCATTGGGATGCTGGTGGCCAAAGTAGATGAAAAATTACTGTATTCTTCAATTTTCTACCTGCAGGTGAATGTAGGATGTGTTCCCAAGAAGGTGATGTTCTTGACTGCAATGCACTCAGAATACTTGCACGATCAACCGGACTACGGCTTTGATGTAGATAAAAAAGGATTTTCTTGGAGGTAAACTGAAAAGGTCAAATATCCTTCTTCAGGAGCACGTTTCTTCACTCGCTAAGTGAAATTTCCACTGTTGGGCCTGCATTGGTAACCCCATCCCAGATCCCTCTACATCCACCAGGATGCTTTGTTGGATTTTATGGGATTTAGGAAGGATACAGCTGGGCGACTTTTTCTTTCCATAGGACTCAATGCACGTAAGAATAAAAATGAGAGCATCGAAATGTGTTATCGGTTTGTGGTGGGTTTTGTATGATTCAAGAAGATTTTTTTTTTGCAAAAGTGGCCAGGGAGTTGAGATTAACAAATGTCTGTGTTCCTCATTAACAGCATGGTGAAGCAGAAGCGAGATGCCTACATCAAGCGGCTCAACGGCATCTACTTCGGAAACCTGGAGAGGTCAAAGGTTGAGTATATCAAAGGCCTGGCGCGGTTCACGGACAACCGCTGCGTGGAGGTGGACGGGCAGTTGTACACTGGCAAGCACATCATGATCGCCGCTGGCGGACGGCCCATCATTCCGGACATCCCTGGTAGGGGTGCATTTTTGCTCTTGGCACCAACGTCACAATTTCACTTATTGCACTGCAGTATTGGAGGCTAATGGTAACAAGGACAGGATAATCAACAGTGATTTTGTATAGAAGTTTAACCAAATGAGTGAAAAATGTGAATTATGGTTGAGCGAAACAACGTCATTTGTCAAAGACCGTATTTCATGTCGTACATGATGGCTAATATTTAATATTTATTTAAAACTTCTGATAGTTGTATTCAGGCACCCCTAAAATAATTTTCATCAATGTAATCAGGAAGCAAAAAAGAAAAAATTCCGTTTTTGGTGATGGAGGAAAAGCCTAAAGATTTTAATCTTCAGGAAAAACTAGCTAGAATTTAGCTAGAATTGTCCAGCCAATCTGCATCGTGGACCTGAGGAGATAAGATTGAGCATAAGAGTAGTTGGAACTAGGGGGAAGTACCCATTGTACCGAAGTCCCAACCTAACACGCTGCGTTATCCAACCAGAGAATATCCGGATAATTTTTACAAAAATCATTGTTTCTGAAACTACTGAACACTTTGTTTTCGTCTGTGTGCAGGCTCAGAGTTGGGAATCACCAGTGATGGTTTCTTTGAGCTGGAGGATCTGCCCAAGTAAGTGTAAAACACTTTCAACATTGAAAACGTGACTGTCAATTTTTGGGGGCCCAGAAGCCTCGCCTCTGTATTTGTGCCCGCTTCAGTGGTCTTTTGCTCACTTCCAGTGGGGATAAAAATAGAATTCAGATCAGTTTACTACTTTTTCTCTTGACAGAACTTAACCCGAACACTCCTCAATCCTTCACCTGTTGGAGGACTGAGGAGTGTTAGGGTTAATGCAAAGGTATGAAGGAAAGAGGCTGAACATGGTTCAGATCTGGATTATCCCTGTGACTTTGTTTTAGGAAAACTGCTGTTATTGGTGCCGGGTACATAGCAGTGGAGCTTGCCGGAATCTTGAACGACCTCGGCAGTGATGTCTCGCTGTTCATCAGGAGACAGCAAGTAAACAGCTTTCCCGAGTTATACCATACTTCTTTTTTCTTTTTCTCAGTTTTTGTGGTGACGGTTAGACATAGATTTTGAAGTTATTTTGCTCAGTTTTCTATCATGAAAGAAGATAACAGATAACTTGGTTAAAATTATCGTTGTAAAACCATACTTGGTTTAAAGAAAATGATGGAACTAAACTGTCTGTGAAATTAGTCTTTCTGGTAAGTCGTTGTGTTGACAATATGACAAATGGCCATTTCTAACGATAAATTGCTGTCTGTAGTTTTCATCTGACGAAGCACGGGCAAGCGTTGACACGATGCACACGCGTGTGCTGTTACTATAATTTGTTGGTTTAGTGTGCGACTTGAATGAGAGTACGTTTTCCCCAGGCCCTCCAGCGTACATTAATGCTCAAATGACAAAATGATGGACTTTCCCTATAGTAAGCCAACCGATGTTCTCTCTTTCTCAACAGGCTTTAAGAACCTTCGATGCCATGGTCAGTGAGAATGTAACAGAGACCATAAAGGCGTCAGGGATCACCTTGGTGACAAACAGCGTGGTAAGGGGTTCTCCAGAGTACCCTGAAGATTCTGCTACGAAATTTCCCAGAGGTGTTGGCAGTTGTTTGCAAGAGTTATCACGCTAGAGTTTAACACTTCCGAGGTTGCATCGTGTGTTTGGGGTATGATTCCTGGCTATATTGTGAACAAAGATATTGAGAGAAGGGAAGAACCACCGTTATAGAGCTGGGTAGTTCAGTTGGTGGAGCGCCAGCGCAGCGTTCCGGAGGTCACAGGTTCAAATCCAGCTCCACTCACTTTCTTTGTTCAACTTTATAGTTCATGGTAAGTTTTAATATGGTTTTGTATTTTGCTCAGAATGCGTTCGTTTTCTTAATGTTTTGTAGTCAAAGTCACTGGTGAAAGCGGAGGACGGCACATTAACATACGAAACCACTGCAGGTGTCTTCTCTGGTTTTGACTGCCTTATTTGGGCCGTTGGCCGATCTCCAAACTCAGACAAACTAAGCCTTGATAAGGTGGTAAGTACTCGGCATTTTGGTAACTGAGATGGCTTGGAATGGGATGGTTGACATGGGGGTCATTGAAGAAGGCTTGCTGCTCCCTTCAAAAAAAGCTGAAATATCCCAAAAGTGAAAACGAGTGAAACACAAAAGAAATGAAGAGATCAAATTGGATAAAATCACTAATTTGATTTAAAAAAATCCTCAACATTTATCCCTTTCCGGCCATTATCATTTTAAGCTGATTAGTGCTTTACTTCTACCCAGAAATCTCCCCCCCCCCAAAAAAAAAGGTTTAGCCTCTGGAAAAATTTGCAGAGACACCCACGGTGTTGGATGGTAAACTAATTACCAATGAAGTTGGCGTGTTCATTGTAACTCTCGGCTCTTCCCCGTTTTCCTGTTATAGGGTGTGGAGATGGATAAAGATGGCAACATCGTTGTCGATGAGTATCAGAACACGAACGCCCCAGGGATCTATGCTCTGGGTGACATATGCGGCAAGGCTCTACTGACACCAGGTAAGGCATTGTCAGGGAAGAATGCAGAGTATATTCTCAGTAAACTACATCCGTGAAAGTAAATGTGAAAAGCCTTATTTTCACTGGTCTGATTCGTTTGGGTTGATGGTGTTGTAGAGCCAATGATTTTCCGCGTTTGCGGAAAAGGGACGGAATTTGCGGAATCAACACTTTGAAACGGAATCCACTGCTTGAAATGGAACTTGCAAAATTTCCCTCCAAGAATGGCTTCAAAAGTAAAGGAATTTTTCTGCAAAGGACTAAAAAATAAATGCCTACCAAACCCTTTTTGCATGCTTGCTTTTAATGAACGAATTATGCTGGAAACATGCCAAACTGCACCACTCCACCACATGGTTGGGTCGTCCGCACCGTGCCTGTGCCGATACTTGCAAGCGCTATGGAGAGCGTGAGCCCCATGCGTGCCGTTGATTAATCGTAGCAAGTGTTTGGGGATGGCGTGCTGGTGGGACGTGCAGTATTTATTGTCTGGATTTTTAAAAACATTTTCACTACAGAAATTTAAAAAAAAGTTGGAAACATTGCAGAATTTTTCCAAACAATATTGTTGTTATTTTTTGTTTTTTTTCTTTTTTTTGGGGGGGGGGGGTGATGTGGTTGGGCAAATGGTTTCCATGCATAATTTAAAACTTGCTCGCCTATTTAATGATTACCAAGGTATGAAACAAAATTTGAATTGCTGAAGCGGAATTCGGGATATGGCGAAACAGAAAATACCCATTTTTGAAACGGAAAATTATCGGCTCTACAGTTGTCTTTGATATCTTGTCTACAGGCTGCTCACAGAGAATGTATTCGGATTCACAGTCATCATGAAGGGACTCCCAATCGTTACGGACTAGGTTATGCAATTAATGTTATATTCCTGGGTTGGCAAAGACAGATCAAATGATCACCAGGTGAATCCGTAGACTAGATTACGAAATATTATTCATGGGTCAAGACAGATAGATCTGACAGTCACCTGATTAATTCAGCAAAGCTGAATATGCTGAAGTATAACAGAAAGATGTTTCTGGACTGTCTGTACTCTTCGTTGGAATGAATCCAACCTGTCTTGTCGCCAGGGCATTACTTTTCCTCCGCCCCATGAAAGCCTGGCATGTATTGTCTCGTTTACTCCCAACAGTCGCCATCCGAGCCGGCAGAATGCTTGCCCACCGTCTCTTTGACAACAAGCCAGACTGGAAGATGAACTACAGCCTGATTCCCACCGTCGTCTTCTCGCATCCGCCCATCGGAACGATTGGTCTCACGGAAGGTCAGCAGGTTAAAACATTAAACTATCAACCCCTGAAAATGATGCATCTACCTTGGGTTCATCCGGCCGTAGGAGTCGTTTTGCTTCTAATTTTTAATCATTTATGTGTGATCTGCTCTAGCTGAAGCTGAGGCCCAGTACAAACGTGAAAATCTCAAGATCTACACGTCAGCGTTCAACAACATGTACTTTCAGATGACGGAACGCAAAGAAAGGACCAAGATGAAGCTCATCTGTGCCGGGCCGGAGGAGAAGGTAGGATTCTGTCAGTGAACGGAAAGGTTCTTGTGATTTTTATCGGGGAATTCTAACAAGGAATGTCACAGAGTGCAACGTAAGTCGTGTTGTATTCAGGGCCATCATGTTATTTCACAAGTCCCTTCACAGGGCCAGTTATAAGTAACAGGGTGAACAATGACAAAGGAATGCTTTTGTCACATCTCATTTGAATAGCTTGTGAATTGGCTTAAGACTGAATGACTTGTGATGGACTTTGAGGGACATGCAGGGACTTGTGATGAACTCGAATATAGCACTGTCCAGGTTGGGTTAATTTCAGGTCACTTTATCAGGCTGATCCCCGTAGGGGTGTTGAATAATTACAGGTGAACGCCTTTGTCTTGCTTCATTTGCTTGGTTTGTGACTTCGTGGGGTGGCTTTTAATGGACTTGCATTGAAATTGACTACAGTGCTGCCAATGTGGTGAGGGATGGCCCACTTCGGAGAGCTTTGGTAGGGGGATGTACCGCAACAGCGGAATACCTTCAGAGTAGCTCATTTGGACAACTGAGTTGCCTTTGAGACAAAGTAACTCCTACCATACCTCTTGCATCAGAAATGTGGAGTGCACACTCGCCAGTTCCTATCAGCAAAATACCTTTTCCAAAAGATGTTTTCATGTGAGGGTTTGTGACTGTAGGAGTGGTCACATTTTTGTCTGTCGCAGGTGGTGGGCCTTCACATGCAAGGCATGGGCGTAGACGAGATGCTACAAGGCTTCTCCGTGGCCATCACCATGGGCGCTACCAAGAAGGACTTTGATGCCACCGTGGCCATCCACCCGACCGCGGCCGAGGAGCTGGTCACCATGCGATGAGCTGTCTGTCGGATATGGTACAGTGGGTAGATGGTAACTATTCCGTGATTAGTATCATGAACTTAATTGAATTGGTGGTGGAGTTAACGGGTATTTTTGACAAGGCCAATGGTCCTAGGGTAGTGCTGGCAGTCATTTGTTTGAATTATGTAAATTGGAAGTGGGTGCTCAAAAGTAAACGCGTTCTGACTTGTTTTGCTCAATCTGCACACGTCACAAATTCTTAGAAAGTGGCAGTTTGCCAACCGAACTCACCCAGAACTTCTCAAAATCAAAAGCCGTAGTTGCTGGTAGGAATATTTTTCGATGGAGATGAGAATTTCGTTCCTCTATGCATTTTCTCACCGTCGACTCCATCAGTCTGTTGGCAACATAGGAGTTAGAAGTCGATTTCTGCATCTTCCTGCAGCAAGTGTGCGCTGGAGGTTTACAAAGAAATGGATGCAAATTTTGTTCGCGACACAGTATGCTGTGTAACATTTTGCAGAAGAGTTGCACACCCAGACATTTTAGACAGCTGCAAACGGAAGAGTAACTTGACTGATGCAAGATATTTGCTGAATATCATCTCATGAAAATTGTATATCATTTACAAATAAACAGGTTTTTATTGATATTGAATGAGTTGCAGCTAAAACTATTACGATAAAATTAGGTATTGAGTGAGTCATTTCTATTATATTTTTTCCCGTCTTTTATGAAGGATTTTGACTATATTGTAGATGTAATTTCAGGCTTTTCATGGTGAAGGCCAGCAACAGGTGCAAAGGCTTGCGGTAGCACCATGCAAAGGAACATATCTCTTATGAGTATGTGTGGTACTCCCGGTTCTTTTCAGAACCACACTTACTCATAAGAGATATATTCCTTCGCATGAGGCTACCGCAAGCCTTTTCCTCTTGTTACTGTATTGTACATTGAGCATGTACTGTACATGTATTTGTAATCCACGTTTTTCCCCAGTAACTGAAGTGCATGTGAATTTTGGAAAGAGCAAGGTCTTTAGGCAGGAACCTTGGGAATATGGTCCTTTGGAATTGTTATATATTTTGAGATTACTTTTATTTATTTCAGAAAAAAACTTGATTGATGTAACTGACAAGAGAAAAATCTTCATTACGGTGCTTTTATTCAGGTTCTTTGCACATGAAAACAAAACACGACAGAAGAAAAGTCCCAGGTTTTATTTGTAAATTTAGTAATCAAGAATCAAATATGTAGGATCACTGAGTCATGTTTCTGTGTACATGTTCACATTGTAACAGCATTACACAATAAAAATGTGTGAACTCTCACTTTTAACTTTCAGTTTGCTTTTATTTAAGTCAACAGCGACAAATGTCAAATTAAACTTGAAAGAAGTAGTCTGAAGTGTAATCATTGGAAGAAAGGAATAAACATATGTATTTTGTATTAATGACTTTAAGTTGTGAAAGGTAGCATCAATTTCTTTAAGTTTTTTGGTGTTATTTCTTGATAGGATAAGCTCCCCACTTCCCATGTACTACTTTATCCCTGAAGAAGACAAAAAACAACACCCACACACACGTTGATAGGTTTAAGAGACATTTTAGGATCTTTCCAAAAGAGTGAACAATTGGCACAAGTTGTCCGGGGCTGTGAAATGGTTTGGAATGTTATGCCAGTTTGAAGGATGTCGATGCATTTTTGCCTGACACTTTCTCAATCACAGCAACAGAGGGCGCTTCAGGTAAGGGTTGTTGACCTTGCATTCGACAAAAGCGTCCACTTTTCATCGTACCGTAAGTATGAGATGATACCATTCATCCCGGAAGGATGCAAGATAAACCTTTCCACCTACTACAAGGCTTATGAATAATTAATATTTCCAATAAATGACGTAAAAAGCAGGAATGATTCATAAAAGTTATGAATCGACCCCTGACGAACTCAGCTGATTGCACTGGTATCCGCTTCACTTACAACGTGTTAACAGTAGGAATGAGCCGCATACCAATGAGGAATCGTCCACCAGCGCAAAATTATTCTTTGTGTCAAGATGGCGACCGGCTGTTGTGGAGTGAAACGGCAAAAAGTCTCCGCACCTTCCGATCGAAACGATCGGTCGGACCGCTGCGAAAAGGGCGACCGATGTTCCCATTCGGGCCATGATCTCCGGCCTGGCACCAGCTCGGGTTGTGGCGACCCACAGCGGGCCCTTCAGCCGAAAATGAACGGTTATCACCACCACGACCGCGGCGGCTCTTACGGCGGGCACGGCCATAGCGGTCCCCACAACAATTCCAACCACCGAGTAGTGTGTGCCGAGATGTGTTTTTTCTGTTTCGATGTTTTGTATCGCCACTTTCACATGTTGAATGGCGAGCCGCCGAGAGTGCCCACATTTACCGATGCTCCATAGTAAGTATTTTTTTTAAAAGGGAGGGTTGGGAAAATGACCTTCATCTGAACATGCTGAACTCAAATTCAATTTTTGGCATGTTTGGGGGCATGTTTCAATTTGTTTGGAGGTTAATTAATTTTAAACTCTAACTAGTACTAGGGTAAGAGTTTAAAATTAGTAGTTATTGATTTAAAAAAAACCTTCTCCAATATTTGCGGTCGGAGGTTGTTCCATTTATTGCATTATCTGAGTAAAGGGGCAACTTTCCGTTCACTTTGTACAGGGATTTGCATGGTTTCCTCCTTTTTTTGCTGCAACATGATATAAGTTATAACTGAAACCTTTTTGGTACAGTGTTGGAGATATTCATAGGGCCTAAATAGTGAAATTTCAGGCACATTTAATGTAAAGATTAAGAGTTTAGTTAATAATTCAGAAGAATCAAAAATCAGTGACGTTATCCCGACTGCCAGAATTTGCTGTAACTTAATAATTAAGTCAATGTACATGTACATCACACTACATACATGCTGTATTTAAATGCTACTATCAAGTAACTACTTGATTGGTTGTTATCATGGGTCACTGAATTATTCATACAAACATGACCAAAGCTTTGCATAATCACACCATCATGAACACCAAAATAGAACAGTTTCATTACTGGTTCACTAAAATACATGTACAGTACTTGAAAGGTGATTTATTCTTGCGGCAATTTAGTCAGGGTTTATCGCAGTGATGCAGGGATTTCTTTTTCGAAGTTTATTTGGATTAAGCATAGATCACTGTTTCATATTCATGCAATAGAAAGAATAATTTCATTAAGCCCTGCCTCATGGAATGGAACATTCCATCGGTTGCTTCATGAAATTATTCCTCCCTAATCATCATTTGTACAATGAAATGGAGTTACAAAACCTGTACTTCAGAGGCAGCATCATGTCTTGTAGCATGTTGCAGAGGGGTGTTGACAAAACCCTTCAAAACTTGAGAGGGCTTTTGAAGGGTTCACGTGTAGGAGAGCACAGGTTGATTTAACTTTTGTGGTCTATCCCTCAGAAAGGAAAAATAAGAAAATCATCCCCGAGTTGAAATGCACCTACAGCGGCAAAAGAAAAACATACTGGTACGAAGTTATCCAACCGGGTTCTTGCACTTATCCAGCATGCACGCGAAGACCATACATTCCAGAATAAATTCATTGTGCGTACTCAGCACACCTTGCATCAGACGCACATGAACTTGTGCGCCTATGCGGTGAGGTGGTACCAAAGGACTGTCAATTTCATTTAAAAACGCGCCCTCCTTTGTTCCCGCTCGGAGCAGATAGATGATTATGACTATATTTTGGAAAGCAGTTTAGTAACCACAGATTTCTGTTCAAGTCGCAGGGTGTCTAGAGAACATGTGAAGGAAGTTCTTGTTAAAAATTACTTGTCTGATAAGAAAAGACTAAAAACCACCAATGCATGCTGTCAGCTCTTTGTTGAGCATTCAGTTAATCAGATAAGCCCATTGGTCCATGTCAGGATTGTTCTATTTTAAAATGAATGCAGTTTCCGTAAAAAGTGGCCTCAACTGTACCGTAAATAATGCACCCAAAACAGTGTGCCATTGCAGTGCAAGGGGCAGAGCGATACTGTAATGTAATTTCATCGTTCGGCTGTAGGAAGGCTCAGGCATGAAATAGAAACCATTCCATACCAAAAGCAGTCATAACAATTGTAGTCATAGTGGTGGTGCTTCAACCAGATTTATATTTCTGCAGATACTCAAAAATGTATTCTTCGTCTTTATTGACCAGTCTCGACAACTTTAAAAATAATTGACCTTGTACCAAATTTGCTCGTGGGTGAGTTTTCCCTCACTGCGCATGCCCGGTGCCCCAGAGATGACAAGTCCTACTTTGAAAGCAGCGTGTTTGCTGTTGATTCTGATGCAAAGAGGGGGGGGGTGTGTGGTCTTTGACAAATATGTTCTACAGTTACTCGGAGTGTGCATGGCAGAGCTAGTGTTGAAACCGAATGAGTCATTTGGATTATTGATTTATTGAAAGCTCCCCTGGGCAATACCTGAAGGTCAGACATGAGGACTGTCGTTGCCAAAAGAGAAAATCATCTTATTTGTATAGTGTGCATTTGTCATTCATACATGTACATGTAGTTGAACATTTGTATTTGGGATGGCTACAGACAATACACCCATTACTTTCAGTTATTAGAAAGAGCGTAATACTTACGCCTACATGAAGAGCACCATGCTTGATGGCTCTGGCGGCTTCACTGAAAATACTATTCATAAATACCTCAAGACAGTCTCCCTATTCAACAAAGTGCAACTTGACCGTGTATTAACATTTGATAATGCCTGCTGAGAAGTGATAATGCCCACTGCGTAGATCACGCGCTGGCGCCTGGATTCGAGACAGTTTAATGGCTTCTGATTGGTCAAGAGTCTGTGTGCTTGTGGCTCGCTACACGTGTTCCAAGTCCATATAAGGAGATTCTTTTGGACCACTTGCACAAATTTTTTCATACCATAAAATTGACAGGTGTTTAGGAAACTGAAGGTAAAATTTCAGAACAGAATTGTCGGAAATCCACCATATATTGACTTCTTTGGACTCTCTAACTAAAAAGTATTTATGAACGGGAATAAATATGTGCTTGGCCAATCTTAACGTTTAAGACCGGCTCAGGAGACTGAATGCTGATCATGTCCTTAGGCATTAGTAGCATGTGTTTAAGACCGGCCAAGTGCATATTTTATTCCCTTTAAGAACGTAAGTTAGTCTCACAAAGCCTACATGTGATTTTGGTAGTTCAAGGCCACTCATTTCCGCCATGCTCTGTATTTCACGTCACCACACAGTCAGACTCACATTACATGTGCTGTGTATTATGTACATTGACACAAATATGCTGCCCCAATTCCCTTAGTAGCTGCACTTGGAACCTTCCCAGATATTCCCAATTCCCAAATTTTCCCGTTGGCGCAGGAAACCACCAGCGGCACTTTGCCTTCCTCAATCCTGCAAATCTTCCCGAGACTTCCCGGTGGATTTATAAGGACCAGGATGTGACAGGATAAAAAAAAAAAAAAAAAAAAACCATGGCAGGTCTGTCACGCACGTTCATCTGGTTTGGAAAAGTTTGAACAGAAGTGAAAGGGCAGAGTTTTGTGAGCAGGAGAAGACTTCCAGTAATAGGTTTTGAGAGTACATGTAAATGGTTTCTCAAATTCCTAAGATCATTCACTTATGGTTACATTGCACTTGACTTGTCTGTGAGGTCCAAAGAGAACTTGTAAACATGGTCGAGCAATTTCTTGGCACCACTTCCAGTATGCTGTACAAGGCACGATGTACCGTATGCTTCCATGTTTTTTCCCTCCCATGGGAAATACCCAGTGCTGTAACGGGACTGTGGCTGGCATGAGGTTGCTGGAAATTCTCAGCAAATCCAAGAAATATGCGTACATGCTAGGACATGTACCATGCAAGATATATGATGAACATGTACACATGTACATGTACCGGTATGAAGATCAGGCATTGTACATGTACGTATGCTTACTTGTGTCGTTTGCCCATAAACCCCCAATCGCTTGTATTACTGGAAAAGCAGTTTACACAATCTCCAAACATATCCCAGAAATGCGATGCAGGCTCCAAGCTGGCCTATTTTCTGGCACGAAGGAGAGAGATGTCGGTGTATGAATCTCCTTCAGAAGAACCACAAGACCTTGACTGGGAAATATCAAAGGTGAATTGAATGCATCTGTATTGACTTTCTTTTTTTTTTTACAGCCCTAAGCCTTTTCTACAGAAAAAGGACCGAAAAAGACCCCAAACCAGCAATCCCCCCCCCAATACATGTACATGTAGAAATCTGCACTCAGCTCTCTCAGAATGATGACATTTGGATATTTTATCTATGCAAACTATTGCTTAAACTTTGGCTAGCTGTGTTGTAATATACATGTATGCACGGTCTGTATACATGTACATGTATGTATGTACATGTATACACACTTATGTACAATACACATCAAGTACACCAAGTCAGGATAAAACACCGTTTGACGATAGTCCATATCAGTTTTATCTCAACTGGTAATTACATTTGTAATGTAAGGTAATGTACATAGGCATTATGGGACAACTTTAAGGTCGGGTGGCTCAGATTCAATTGCATTCTTATGAATAACACATGGAGTATTATTTTCTTCATATGACTCATTGTGGTTTTGCTAGTTTCCATACATTTGGGGTCATTAGAACTCTACCGATGTTTAACATGAGTTTGTTTGCTGGTCTGTGGACAGCTGTAACTGACTCACCCGGTTTGTCATTGTTCCTGGTTTGCCGAGTGATTGTTTTGTTAGCTGTTCATTTAGGACTGTGTACACTTACAAGAAGGAGCTTGGGTTTCCTTTGTCAAGACAAATTATTTTCATAAGTGAGATATGTTGGTCTTGAAAACGTCCAAAAGTTTTGCTTTTCATTATTGCGACCAGTACTTGGAAGTCTGCGAAATCCGAAAAGAACAGCGAAAAATAACTTTGGGATGAAAAGGCATGATGATATTCCTGACAGTAATGCACCTGGCAAACTTGGCTGCTCCTTCAGAACGAAGAAGAAATGTTGATTTTTTTTTTTTTTTAGGGCCTGTTTTTTTTTCCACATGGATCTGGATCTTGATCGGTGATGCCAACGCTGGCTTGCACCATCCATAACTAGCCGAGCTTAGGTGTCCGTAAACCAGCGACGGGTCACTGATCATGATCCAGAACCGTGGAAGCAAACATAGCCTGAGGAGCAGTGCTCATGCCAGCGTTTACATGTTCCATGCATGAACATACTGGTGGTTTTGGACAGTGGCTGAAAGCGTACTGGTGCACCACAGTGAGGAAAAGACACGATGAAGCGAACAGATTTTGTGTGTTTTACTTTGCAACGTAAACCAGTGGCGAGTGGACTTTCCCGTATTCCTCGACCACTGACTGAAAGCGG